TTTGGTGCCGGGGGATGTCTGCAGCTCCGACGGACCATTCTGATGACATACGCGCCGTTCAGAAGGCGTGCTCCGATTTCGAGAGGGACATGTGCCAATTGGAGGGCGCCCTGGCGGAGGAGCGAAGGAAGCGGGAAACCGTGGAGGCGCGGGCGAGCCGACTTGAGGAGCACAACGCAGCGATGGCGCAGTTGCTGGCGGCCCACCAGGTCAAGGCCATCGACGAGGTGAGGCCAGGTCGCTCGAGACGCTGGACCGATTTCGACTCCACAAGGCAAAGCAAGGCCTTTGCACCGAATGGCGACGGCTGGCACATGCCACATGCATGTCTATTTGGCTGATCAAGTCCATCCCCGCGTTGACAGGCATACGCGTGTGCGCTGCCTCTATGCAGAGGCAAAAGACATGTTGCTTGCTGCCGTTGATCATGCATGGAGGATCAGCAATTGCAATATACAGCGCTGTGTTTCTAGACAAATGTCCCCTGCTTCCATGCTTCCTCGCGTGCCCGCCACTTCGAACACCGCTCACTGATACTATGCGCCTGGTGGGAGGGAGATCCCGCCATTAAATACTGATATCGGGCACAGCCCTTCTCACGAGATCCCGCGATGCTTGGTGCATTGCGTCAGTGACACGAAGGTCGACCGGAAGCCGCGGTGCATGCAATGTTTTGTTGCCCCGCATACGTGAGCGATGAGGACGTTTATTGCTTTGCAAAACGTTTGTCAGTTGGGGCGCTCTGGGCGGGTGGGGGTTGGGTGGGCACCTTTCGTTGCTTGCCATTGCCACATGTCAGTAGAGGCATCTCGAAGAACGATATGACTCAACAGCCACCATAAACTTTAAAATTTTTTATCCGTAAATAGCCGTAAAAAATGCACGAGAATGTGTAAAATGGGGAAAATGCGTAAAATACGTAAAAATGCGTGAAAATGCGTAAGAATGGATAGAAGTTTTCCCATCGTACTTAAAGACTGTACGTACAGATTCAAGGTGTCCGGGGAGTAGCAGTTTTACCCGCTGAAGTGTGCATAAAGCGACTTTTTGCTCGACGCCACCGTTGCCCTTGCCGAGGGCGAGGTGGACGCTTTGTTGCCGGTGCTGGACAGGGTGGATTACTGACCATTGTTTGAGACACCATCATGTTATCTGGGCCTGTCGGCGAGCCCCAAATATGCGTAAATATGGCCGTAAAACAAACGGCCGTTTCTCTATTGACGTGTTTTTACACGTAAAAACGTAAAAGCAAAAAATGGAGCCGTAAACGTAAAGATCAAGCCTGCGCATAGTCACGTAACTGTTGGCCTTCCTTTGCGGAGCAAAATTGCGAGGCAACACAGTGGAGCAAAGGAAAAAGCAAACAACGCTCTGAAAAAATTCGGAGCACAAGCATCGAAAAATGCATAACAGCAGGTGATTTTGAGGCGGAAGTGTTGAATATCGTACGGTACACCAGTTGCTGCCAGCATCCTGTGGTTTCGAGCGAGTCGAACTGCGTCCCACGCAATTGAAGGCCTGCTACAAATAGTTTGCGAGAAAGCGGCGGAGCCTCAAGAATTTGAACAAAGTGGTGAATTAAGCAGGGAACACGATTGCTGTTGCGTGGGCGATGCTGCTAAGACATCAGTTCACAAAATCTTGCGCCGAAAACACTGGAGGAGAATTGAAGGAGGATGTAAGGATAATGTTGATAAATATCTCGTATCGATGATTGCGATGTTGGGGAGGTGGTGGTGTGGTCCCCGGCGTGATTAGGTTTGAGCTGGAGGGATCTTACTGCTGCCAAACATGGGCACAAGTGACATAGTTTCGATGAAAAGAAATGGATCTTGCGAGCTACACATCCCTTCTATACATTCTGCAAGCTATCGACATAGAAGGTTACGGAACCATGTGAAATGAGAACAAAACGTGATGCACTGCTTCTTGCAGATCAAGATACAGAAAGAGCATAGCGATTGCCTGGACCAGCTGGCGCAACTCAGGAACAATTATGAAGAGGTGCAAAAGGTTCGATCCCCGAACCCGGAACTTTGTAAGTCGCGTAGTTTCAGAATTGCGTGACGCCACCCTCGCAAGGGCGGTGAAAGTGGACTGTTTGCAGGATATGTTAAGGCAGACTGTTGCGTCTTACACTCTGAACTTTGTTCTCAGTACATTTTGAGATACTCCATTGGATTGGCGCATTAGCGGAGGAGAATTGTATGGGAGAGGACATGAAGTTGTCATAAATGTATTGTGAAAGCTCGCAATGAGGATCAATAAAGTACAGCTGATTGGTTACTCCAAGCATTTTGGCGAATTCACCATCCCATTGATCTGTGACTTCGAGGGCACATTACGACTTACACATTTTTGTCTATGCCGCGTCATGCTAGGAAAACGAAATGCTGAAATCCACTGTTCGAGAGGTCAATGAACGTGCAGACAAGAGAGGCGCGGACGCCGAGCAGGAGATCGGGAGACTAATGGAAAAAGTATGATTTGCGGGGGTGATCACACTATTTGCTCGCAGAAAGAAAAACTGTATTTGAAATCCTGGCAGAAACAAATAGCTGTTGCGTCAAGGCGCGTGGAGAGGGGAGGTTTAGGCACCAACACATCAGCTTGTGGAAAAGTAATCCATTAGCATCTGCTTTGCCTCAGGCCAAGGGACCAGCCAGATGAGTACACACTAATGTATTCATTGGTAAGCTCACTATGCATTAATGCACAAAAACTTTGAGACTTGCAAGGTTCTTTTCGAGCGGCGGAAGAGGGCGCGAGGGCGTCTGCACAAAGTTAAAAAGCGCGGAACAGAGATCTGCATCACAAACATCCCAGGGTACTTTCTCGTGGTCAGTTGGAGAAATCGTTCGACACCCATTATTTCGGGATATATCCGATATATCCGTTCATATCGATATGAACTGCATAAAGGTCCGAAGGGCATGAGCGCAGAACAACGTAAACCGTATGCTTAAGTTTTAGGGTGCCTTAAGCCCCAACACCACTGAGGCAGCACCGATGATCCAAGCCAAATTACCACCATGCCCTTCATGCCCAGAGATGAAGGTGTCGCATAATTGTTGTCAACACAGATGTGGGCACCGATGGGCCCTCCCTGAATCTGAAATGCCCCTTGGATGGTTTTCACACGAAATCCCTTCAGCTGTGTTCCGCCAACGCAGAAAGAAGTCGCATGAATCCTTTGTGGACAGAGCCAGGTATCTGTGCCACACGTGCAGGCAACAAATTCGTTGCCGTCTTTAAATAAATGCAGTGGATGGACGTGCCGCCGCTCATTGCCAGATCATCAAACTAAATTAGCTCGTTCGCGCATTGGGGCGTGACTCCATGATGATGCCATTGTATTTTGCTTTGCTCTCAGGCACGAGACAAGGAGCTTCTTGTCGAGAACGCAAAGCGCAATATGCAGCAGACCTGTGAGTACGCGGGCACTTTCTGGCTAACAGTTTAACATGCTCCGGTGCCAGAATGGGATTAATGACTGCGCCATTCTTCTTGACCTGATTGGAGTGGAAAAGCGGGTCTGCAGTAATGTCTGGACCAAGGCACCTGTGCCCGGTACAGGAATTTCCAGCGCCGGGATATCGCCGACCAGTGCACGCATGGGAAACCCATACGGAACGGACTGCTTCTGCTCTGAGGTTTTGCCCCAATTGATCCGCCATTCAACAAATGACAAATCAGATGGATCATACATGATGCTGCCGCCAAATGATGGGGTGACGCGGAACTTGTGCTGTCTCTCATTCAGACGACCTTCAGATCAAAGATCTGCGCCATAGACTGTCAGAGGCCATGGAGCAGAAATTGTCAGTGGAGGAGGCGCTGGAAAAGGAAAGGCACGCCCTGCACGCCCTGAAGCAGGCGGCGCAATCATCAGTGCCAAACGCGGCGGGCATCTCGAGGGGCGACGCCGCGTGGAAAAAGAGGATCATGGAGTTGAAAGCCCAGCTGGAGGAGGCCAAGAAAGAGAACTACGAGTACAGGCGACAGTGGGGGCAAAGGAGGGGCTGAAATGCCCCGATGCAGACCGCCTGCGTGGGACAATGCACCATGCGGGGCTTAAACGCCTCCGGATCAGAATGACTCCTCGTATGATGCGCGCATCCGATGGCCAATCCTCAAGAGCACCATGGTGCGCTCGAAGAAGTGCTTGCTCATTGCCAGGCCATCCATATACGTGTTAGGAAGTAGTCGGCAACATTGGGAAAAGGGAAACCGGCAGCAGTTTAGATTCAGCCAGGCTTGGGCTCTTTGGACGAAGGCGTGGTGTCTCTCTCCCAATTTCGAAAATAATACTGCCATGCACTCTGGCATTTGGAGCAAAAATGCTTCGAAAGCGAGGGACTTCCTGTGGATCTCCCTGGGCATTCTTCAGTTTTTGTCATTCTTCCAGTTAAATGATGATTTGTTGATTTTCCCGTGAAAATCTCCGAATCATATGTGCCATGAAGGCAATCTTCCGTTGGTGACGACCTTATACGCCAACACCACCCTTGGACGTCACAACAACGCCCCAGTGAACAATTCGTGCTCTAGGGAATAGGCTACCAGGCCATTACGTAACACCCACGCCTTGACCATGAATTCTTGAGAAGATGCGCCGTCCAGCCATGCCGCGCATTTGAGATCATGACTGAAACTGCACTGCCGATATTTACATTCTGGAATTGAGTTTCATGATGTCGATACCCTCCTTGCGGCGGTGAGGCAACCGGCACCTTGAAGATCTCTCAAAACCGCTGCACACGCCTCCCACGATGGTTGCCGCACACAAGTCCGAAACATCATTCGACTACAGTAATTTAAGTCATTCAACAGTCCGAAACATCATTCAACTACGTAGTTCAAACACGCCGAGGAATCGATCTGCTTGTGCAGCATGCCACGTGCGCTCGCCAGAGCGACAACCCTTTTGTCCAGGCGCACGCACCAGCGAGGTTCTCAACACCGCTCGCCGCCGACATTGCCACTCGGCCGCCTCCCGCTCAAGCTCCCGTCTGACCTGGCAGCGTGAAGTTCGCATCGGCCACGCCTCGCGTCCCCAGAGCCACATTGAACAACTCCCCGGCGCCAGGCTTTTGCGTCGATGGCTGGCGAGCGAGCCAGCCCGACTGGTGGTCCCTGCGCCCTAAGCAGAGCGTCTGCAGCCTGTGCAGCGTCCTGGGCCCCAGGCTGCCCTTCGTTTGCTCCGGCCACGGGCTGTCTGGCGCCGTCGAAATGCGAACCCTGTTCAGCGTCTGGTTGTGGCGTCGCCAGGACTGGGAGGCCGTCTTGGAGGGTTCAGGTGTGGGGTCGGACAGAGCTGGGACACAGAACACACGGCGTTGGCGAGGCGTGCGAACGGCGCGTTTCAAAAGCGCTGTGCTATGTCAGCATTGCGAATGCTGTGCTGGATTAGAACTGCTCGTACTGATGCATCACGTGCAGTTTTACGTGGTGTGGGGCTCGACCATCACGGAAGCCGTCTTTTCTGGGCAATGTCATCGAATCTTCATATCTTTTTGTCGTACTATCGTATCGTCATATCGCTATCGTCATGTCATCGAATCGAGTTGCCCACCGGGGTGTCGTCACCCAGCGCCCGCATCGAGCGAGCGATTTTCCAAGTCAAAGACCACCAGGGTTGGCAGAATTGATGATCGTTGTTTCACAAGGCGAGTGAGCAAGAGCTGCTCAGCATGATTAGAAGTTGAGGAGCTACTGGTCGACAATGTTGCGCGAGTCTAAGCATTGTTCTCACCATCGCACGCTCGCCATCCAACGTCCGTGAACATTGGCTCGGATACTAAAAGCCTGTCCAGCGGATTGGAAGTGCTAAGAGAATACCAATAACGTTGTCGTGGACATGCCCACGGCACCAAAGGCATGTCTTGCGTCCCAATCGACAGTGTCCCAACGGTGCTCTCGGAAGCATGTATTCAGCTCGGAAAACAAACGCAATTCTACAAAGGAACAAAGGGCGTATTGCTGTGTTCGTGGCGGGGACCGCACCATTGATAGTTGTGCGTCGCTGGCGAGCACGTGCACAGGCCATAAGAAAGCAGCAGACAAGCAGCACAATCGCAGTAAGAATGCACGCCGCCACGGCCAACAGCATCTTGAACGGAAGCGCCCCCGCCGATGAGGACCGCCCCCCCGCTCTCTCCTCGCTCTGCCCATCCAGACCGGCTTCAATGTCGAAGGTTGAGGGGCCGTCGGGCAGCCATGCGCCGTGGACGTAGTGCTTTTGGCACGCGCCGTTCACCATCGTGTATCCGGCAGCGCACGCATCGCACAAGTCGCCGATGTACCTTGCGAAAGAAGAGCGACGGCAGTTCGGCATTGGGCAGCGTAGTGAGAATTTGCTCACATTGCACAAGTTTGATCCCTGTCTTACAACGACATTAAACTGCTGTGAATCGCATATCCTTCATGTCCTTCGGGAGACATCGTGCAATCTGAACAGCGTGATTGACTTCTTTGTCTCCTGCTTAATTACCTTTAAAACCAGTGGAGTGGCGGGAACATCTTCACTGATCTCATTTGCCAGGGAAAAGGATATCCCAGCCATTCGCATAGTAGGCGAGGCGGTTCGCTGTCTACACATCCTTGGAGTTTCGGTTTCCGCTTTTACCGAAAATACACTCTGGACATCTGGGATTTTCTATCTGCGCATCACTGCCAAGAGATTCTGTGACCACCTGCCGTGCAAGGAGATCCACGGACGCTTCGAAAGTATGATAGTAAACATGCGGACAGGATCCGACTACATTGTGGGGAGCGCACAATACACCATAGCTCACGATCAGTACTAACAGCCAACGAACGTGGACCAAAACAGCGATGGTGGGCCAGGATACTTTATCCCAGAGTCCACGATGAAACAGTGGCGAGGCTGCAATGGAAGCCTTTGAATTTGTGCTAATTCTGCAGCTGCAGTGGTTCTGCGCATGCTGTACCTGCAACAATTCCATTTTGCTTGACTCACCCCGCAAAGCATTGGCACGCCCCAGAGGCAATCAGGCACGTGCCGTGCCCCCCACACTGCTTGGGCTGGCCATTGCCGTCTTCCGGCGCCGACTGTGCACACATGTGAAGGGGAATTTTGCAATCCTCACGGCACCCGGCATCGCTGCTCCCTGCAGCAAATCCCTCTGTGGAGTCTGCATGCACCACCTGCTCGCCGATCTCACAAACCCCATTCCCGCATATCCCCAATCTGGCCATGCCGTTTATGTCCGTCAGACGAATGACCCAATCTTCTGGCAACCAATCGGCTGTATGGATGGATTCCGCAGCCAGGCTCCTGGACCCTGTGATGAGGCCCACTCCAGGAGGGGTGCTGGTGATACTGAATGCGTGCAGCTTGCTGAGAACTGCGCTCAATGTGAAAGCCACCGTGACATTCGACATCACTTCCTGCGGAGATATTTTGACCAATATCTTGAAGCTCTGTTCCGGGCTATCTTCACCCTGTAACACAGGACCCATCCTGAACGACCCTGGCTCCAAAGCCAGCCGATTGCTCAAGCCGAGTGCCAGGGCCGCATGGAGAACTGCCTCCTCTGCGGTCGACAGCGAGGTCGCTCTCTTTCTGTTGCCCTCGACCCAGAAATGGAGGTTCATTTGAATGGCACAAGTCATGGAATTTCCGTTGCAAACTCCACATTCGTCAATGTAGCCGCCCTCACAGCACAGACCGTTCTGACCCAGTGTGGAATCCAGGCAGCACCTCCCCTGCCAACGGCAAGCCACAACACAAAGCGTACATGAACCAACCCAATCTGGTACTTGCTGCAATAATGCAGAGGAATCATACGTCCTGAAACAATGCAAATGAAACCTGGATGCCGTTTCAGGTGCAAGTAATCTTCAACAGTCGGGTGAGAACACTTGCCAATGCGGGTAGTGCTGCGTGGGTGATGCAGTCTCATTGACGATGACTCCAATGTTTGGTCATACCTTAAGCAAGGACATCCTTACTGCATTGCAGCTGAGCAGAGAATATTATGAAAATCGTTAAGGAAAGTGGCAGCCTGCAAAACTTCCGAAGAAGTTCCCCAACCGCCAAAGGCAACACGGAATTTACCAAAGGCCATCGTTTTAGGGTTAGGTTTAGATTAGGTTGGTTGGTTTTAGGATTTGCGGTTTGAATAAATGTTACATCAAATAACAAGCTTTCTGTTGCTGGCATTCGTCATACGCAGTACACCAACAGTGCGCCACAATTTAGTGGCGATTCTGTCGCCCCTTGGCACAAGAGAGCTGCGCTGCATCCAAAGGCATCACCACAAGGTCTTCTGGTGTAAATCCCGGTATGTCTGCAAGTTGGCATTTGAAGCTTTGACAAAGACAGTGAAGGCGAGGTCGCGGTTTCTTACCATGATATCCACTGCAGTAGCTGAGCCATCGCAGAAGCCACAAACATCCACTTTGCCACTAGGGCAGCATTTGCCGTTAGCATCCAGGACGGCGTCAATAGACTCGCAGCAGCTCCCATCGCCGTCCACAAGGCCGCTCTCACAGCAGGCTGCGTGCTTATCCAAAACACCGACGCACGATGGCGGTGTTTCACAGTAAGCGCCATGAAACCCTTCCAGGCAATCGCACCCCCACCATCCGCAGTTTCCGTGACCAGAGCAGTCCTGCAACAGCCACAAGAATCCTGTTGGCTTGTGGCCCCGAGCCAAGCATACGCTGCCGGGTGGCAGACGCTGTCGCGCTTGGACGTTGCGGTGTCATGCAAAATGAAATCGCTACCTGACTTCCTGATAGGAGATGACTCATTTGCTCTTTAGGCAATGTCTGTTCCTGTCCGGCACAATTCACAGCAGACCTGGCAAAGTATATTTGTCGGCTGGAATCCGGGAGGCTGAATGGCAATGAGGAAAATGGAACAAACAGCACTCACATCTGCCCGTATAGAATATATTGATTATTGTATTGCATTCCTACTTGATTTCATGGCCGATGCCCTGTGGACACGAGGCAAATGGGCTGTAAATGCGAAATCAACGTGAACAAAGATGCGACTCAGGGCAACTACACTTCTGCAACTATGCTGTGTGTCTCACCACGTAGTTTTGGGGACTGTTGATGGGTCTGCAAACGGCAGCATTCTCATCCACTCTGCATGCCTCTTCTTCAGAAGGGATTGGAGCAGAGCACATGCCATTGGCCACCACGGTGCCGTTGCCGTCTATGCAGTTCACTGTGCGCAGGGAGTAGCCCTTGTCTTCCCCATGGCATGCCTCCCATCCGCCCACCTGGGATCATAAAGCCGCAGAGCAGTTCGACATGCTGCCAGTATCGATGCACATGTCAAGGGCAGTAACCTCTCACAAATGTTGTGAACGGGAATTGATGTTGACTACACCAAAATACATAGAGCGCATCCCTTGTGCAACAGTCACTGCGCCGTGGCATGTCATGAGATGGTGGATGAGCCAATCGATGGGGCAATATATATTCATACCCTTGCAAAAACAGAGATTGAAACTCTGCATGAGAAGGCTGCCAGGGTATGTGCATCAGTAAGGACTGGTGTGCTGCAAAACACCCAAGTGAGCAGGACATTTCCAAACTTTGCGACAGCAGCTTGCTACCAGAGCAGCCCCATTTGGTGCAAGCTCTTTTCAACCTCACTTAATTGAGCTCTCCCAATTGTGGAAAAGCAAAATCAGAAAATGACACACAAGGTAGCTTCAGACCCCTGGGTTCAGGCGCAATGCCAAAGAGATTCCTTCTCACCTTCCAGACATGGACGTCACAGGGAAAATCGTTGCAGGTTTGCAACATTTCGTGACCCGTTATGGGGCCTCTGTCAGCTGTGTTGCACAAGCTGGCGTCCACCTCAGCCTGCTCATCGGAGCCCATGCAAACCGCCCTTCTTGTGCTCGTCCCTCCGCCACACAGCTTATCACAGCTTGACCAGGGTGTCACACTCCAAAAGTACCGATTCGTGCATTCCATTGGCTGACAGTCTGGGTTCACCCTGTTCTCAGCGCGGAAACTGTGTAGTGCATTCTGGTACTGTGACGCATAGTCGATGCTGCAAGACTGCAAGGGGGCGGCGAACCTGTAGAGGGGCAAGAAGATCAGTAAGTGATGCCAATTGCCGGCCCCACATCCCTTCTAACAAGCTCCCTGTGATCCATCCCTTGAATGAAGCAAAGCTGTCCTGCACCTTCTAATGCCTCATATGCAGTTATATCGATGTTCCTAATCTGCCTCTTGGCAGTGCAGCTAGGGTGTGAAATCTGCTTTTTGCACTACATTTTTTTAAAATGCAGAGTTTGATGACTGCTTGTTGAACATCGAAATAACTCAAACATTCCACCTGCCCATCCAGCTGGGTCAGCATACAACTATTTGTAGAGATAGGCAGCTGGGCTTGGGCCCTGCAGCTCTGCAGTGCAGATGCAAAATGCTGGGGGGGGGCCTTTCCATCGAACAGTCACTTAAGCATTCCTCTCACCCGAATGCATCGAAGCACAGCATGGCCTCGTCACTATCCACTGAGCTGCAAGCATCTTCAACACAGTACGCTTCTGGCCATCGGGACTTCCATCTGAGCTCATTGTGACCGCACACTCCCACATTGCAGCGCCGCTCCTGATCAGGTTTCTGTTCTTGTGGGCACAGCTGCGGATCCACGTACACTCTCCCCCTGTCACTGCTTGTCACGCACGCAACAGATCGGTGCTGCACACCACCACCACACTCCACAGAGCAGGCACCAAATTCTCCATCCCCAACAAACCAATAATAAGTTGTTGCTGGCCGTGAAACGATGGGCTGCACAGGCAGGGGAGGCGATGGTGCTGCCTTTGGTTCCTGTACCATGAACCTCGACGCGCAGCTGCCCAAATCGGTGCAGTCCCTTTCCTTCTCCCATTCAGCTTGTGGGATTGCATAGTTGTACATTTTCATGTGCATCAAGGTGGCATCTAAACCGCGGTCTTCGTCTCCGATCCAGAGGGCATCTTCCGGGCTCCAGTTGAGGCCCATCCCCTTGCGGTCATGGTCGCAGTATGCAATCTTCTGACGGCTTGGTATGCACCAAACATCGGGCACCAGCCACCCCCCCTTGCCATCCACCCAGACACCAAGGCGATCGTTGTCATACACGAAAAGGAGATGTACAGTTGTTGTGGCCCTTTCCAGGAAGTGGCCTGAGACATCGACATACTGCTTGTCGTGTTGCCACTGGACCACCAATCGGTAATCTGTGCGGTGGGGATGGTGGATTTCCACTAGGGGAACCGAGCTTGACACAGAATGTGGAGCAGAGCCAACACTGAACAGGATGTATTTTCCAACATAGATGTCTGCTTCCATCTGTTGACAACAGCAGGAAGCTGATCAGTCAATAAAGCCCACAAGAACATTTCAAATAAACCAGCACTCTTTTTGCAGTGCCATTGTATTTGGTCATATATCTTCAATATATTTCTAGCTGCTGTTAATGGAAGGCACTCAGCGACAACAGAGCATCGTTGCCTACAGAGAATGGCCAAACACAACTTTCATCACCCAATACACTAGTTTCCCAAATGCCTGCAAAAGGCTGATGAGCCCAGGCCAACAACCCACTTTTCTGCCCTTCCGCCCAGCAGGCAATGTCGTTGCATTGACTACATACAAGTGAAGCCTGTGGTGTGCACGATGGCCTAACATAGTGCCAATGAACAAGCCCAACAAAAGCCATCCTGGGACCACAGAAGACAATGGCTGGGGGACCTCGACAACCTGGACAAGCATTGAAATGGTCCACTGATTGGAGCATGTGGCACTTGGGAGATCCTGTAGCTTGCGTTTCACAGCTGGCAGATTCAGGCGTCGCTCTCCAGCCACCACACTGATGCCACTGGGATGACCTGGCATGTCGGTGTTGTGGGACGCAGCTGGAACAACACGAGCCACTGTTGTCTCCATTCTCTGTGCAATGCTGTCCACTGTGTAGCGAGTGTATCTGTAGAACAAGAACAGGAACACTGCTGCTGGTGAGAACTGTGAGAACCTGCAGTAGACAAACTAGTAGACAAATTCATGGTGAGGAATTTGCACAAAGAATCTCTTGCTGATCTCCTTAGGACGTGCCTCACCTAACATCAATTGCATATCTGTCCAGAGATGCTTCCTTGATGGTAATGTCTGCTCTGGAATGCGAGCCATCAGATGCTGCAGCCTTCACAGTGTAGGCTGTTGGACAGTCTTTTGTGCATTTCTGCGATCCCTTCACAGAAGACTCCATGAAATCTGCAAGAGGTGGAAGGATGGCTGTGTCTGTATCCATTGCAAAAGTCCGGTTCATATTGTCCTTCCACACAATTGACTCTGGCTTCAATCCAGCAGGAAAGAGAGCCTTCAGCCTGGATTGAAGGTCGAAGCCACATTTGCGACCCAAATGGATGTTGCCAACAGCATCGGCATCTGCAAAGCGGATCTTCATCTCCATTGCACCTGTAGGAAGCCATTCTGCTTATTTTACTGACTGTCAGCTAATCCTACTGTTTCTTTGCTCACGGCATGTTCGTCCCAGGATGCTCTGCTGAAGATTGGTTTCCATTGGCTGTAGTACCGGCAAATCATACAAGCGATCACTTCTGTCACTGGCTTCACCAAGAAAGCTGCATTGTGTCCACTGCTATTCCTGTTGCACTTGCTAAATCTGCGTCGTTGCCAGCAGTACGTGATGAAGAGTTTTGCACATGAATCGCTCAAAAAGGGGCAACAATGTTCACCATGAACAGCACTCAAGACCTCCATTTTCCCTGTCAAACATATGTTTCGAGCCACAGCACTCTGTGCTATGAAATCGCTGCCAAACCACCACCTGGAACATCTTTGCGCTGAACGCCCGCCCGCAGCATCAGGTGCAGGCATTCGAGCTGCTCAAAGCCAGTGTAGTCATGTTTCTCCACTGTCTCCTGGAAAGGGCGTTCTCCTCTCCAGCCGTAGAAGCCATGCACGCTGTAGCTGTACACAGGCACCTTGGCATTGCCATTGCAGCCCGCAATCCTCTCCACCAGAGCCATAATTCCCGTCTCCTCTCCATTTTCAAAATGAAACCAGGGGTATCCTTCCTTCAGTTGAGCAAACGAGTCACCACCAGGCTCTCCTGGGATTGCGCCTTCCTTTCGCGGCACAGTGTGAGGCCACTCACCAAAAAGAACATTGAAATCGAGCAGTCCACGTAAGCTCCACACTTGCTTCCCTGCAAGTTCACGTCCATGGTGTGTCAGGGATGGTGTGATGGGATGGGCTGTCAGTTGAAAAGGGAGCCTGGAATTCATTTCACGCCCCAGTTCTTGCCAGCGCTTCTCAGCTGGGCCCACATCATGCAGTGGTTAAGACCTTGCCACAGTGAACCCCTGCTGCATGAAAGATGATGCCTGGATAGTGCGGCACAGTTGGGCGACTGCAGTTTGATTGGGCTGAACTTGCAAGCGTCATCGTGGTTGCAAAATGTGCGCAAAATGCCACAGCAGAGAATACTGTCCAACAAGAAGAGTGTGACAGGAAAATGCATGTCAACTGTGCATCTAACGGAGTCTTGAACAGCCACAACACCACTGTTGGTCACTTCCAGGACAACAGAACATTATGCTCAGGAGCCCACAATCCATAGAATAGTTTGTGCAAGTTGACAGCACAGAAATCAGGCTGTGACGACACTGCACTACTGTGTGGTCATTACACTGACATTGCTATAGCAATATGCGCATCCCCCACTTATTGTGTGCTCTTGCAACACCCACCTCTCTTCTCGTAGCGATTGCTATAGCCCACAGACAGTCCCCGAATATTGTGCCTCATATCCTCATTGGCCAATGGTCCATCACGAGAATCAAGTGGATAGCGGCTCACTTTCACATCTTGCCAGAAGGGCACTGAGCGATATCCAAACACCAGCATCTTGTCTGCTGTTAGTCGCATGGTGACAGCCATGAGGTTTCCCTCTGAAGCAGAGCGGTCAAACGGCCAAATGATGAACTTGTGAGTATAGGGTTCCCTCACACTCGACACAGGCAAGTGTGCCCTCTCATTTCCAGCCACCCAGCCAGCAAGAATCCTGGCAGGCAGTTCAGTGGGTTAGAAAGGGCAAGATGCAGGAATCCACAATAGTTTGATGAAGTGACGATGGCCATCATACGTTGCCACAACAAACCACACTGCTGCTGGGTATTATGCACATGGAAAAGAATAAAGCAGTCCATGAATTTCAGCCAGACTCCACAAGGCAACTGAAACGTTTTGACAAGCATTTCAGGAAACTAATGTGCCGAGCCTGCAACTCTGGTCAAGAATGGCCCTATTTTTTCCTTGCTAAAGCTAGTACTTCCACACGAAACTTGAGTATCTGAGAACTGTTCTCCATTGTTTACCACACAGACAAGCAGTGAGTGCTAAACAACATCTGTTCCACAGAACAGGGATCTTAGCTCTTGGCCAACTGTCCATAGGCGTTCAGCATGCGTCTGCTTCCAGCTGTAGGAAGTTCGATTAAGTATCAGAACATAGATGTACAAATGCTGGGGACATTGCCTCTGATACTAAGCCTGTCCTATCTTTGTCACCTTGAGTGGAGATTGAAGTTCCCTTTGCAGCAAGCCATGATATCCAGCTTGTCTGTGTAGCCGTCCTCAATGACACCTGGGCCAAGGGGGTCACTGGGCACATTGGTTGCATTTTCCAATTTGTACAGGACGGAGTGCGGCAAGCCGAAATTGTGTCCTGTTTCATGGATGAGGTAGTACATGCGCGGATTGCACTGCAACACAAATATCAGTGGCATGCTGTTCGAGCCTGAAGCCCATGCCAGAGTGCCCCAATTGTTGTGGTGTGGCCATGGGGAGAGAACCTGCACAAACACATCCCACTGATCATATGAGGTCACAGTCTCAGTGTGCGCTCCCCAGATATATGCAAACAAAGTCCCCCAATCCACCCTAGGGCCCCCAAAGCATACTGAATACTGTGTAATGAGTTCATTTTCCACACCAATAAGAGCATCATTGGCGTACATGCTAGAGGCTTGCCTTTGCACAGCATAATTGCTTTCACACCACTCACAGGAAAACCAGATACTGATAGGCGGGCTGGCCCAGTGTGTACCCTGTTCCTGGTTACTTAAAGTTCATCACAGATGCACGAAAGGGGAGTTCAGCACTGCAAAGACTCTTCAACGGACAGCAACATAATATGTTGAACATATGCAAGAGTCCAACTTCTAGCAGAGGTAGCTACAGGCGAGAAAAGATTATGCTGATGTGTGGTCAAAGTGACCGTTTCATACTGCAAGGTCCCTTGGGCCAATAGTGCCAACTTGCAATCGTCTGTATGTGCTGTTCGTTGATGTCGAGCACCCAAAAAACAAGAAACCGGGCAATGGCTGCTTATGGATACATTAACGCTTTGCATATCATAGTGCAAACAAGAGGGTAGCAAATTGTGTAGCGAGCCACGGCCATGTAGCTGTCCTGCCATCGGCCTTTCACAGATATGTAGAGCAATGGTTTCAATATGTCAGGAACTCGTGCATCAGCAGAATGAATTCAAATCAACAGCAATAGCATGGTTGATAAGAGTGCAGAAAACAACGTTTCTAAGCAGCTGAACACCACCGCAACATAGTAAAGCAGCAAATGTAAACAAAGTCACAATACCAAGCGCCAGCCCACCCACAAAATTCGTGTCTGCCCAGACAAGCAAGTGAACAGGCAATTGTCCCCTGCAACCATCTTCAACCCACCATTCCCATGAAGTACTCCTGTTCCATGTCAATTCCTTTGTCACTGAGGTAGCTTCGCACTGGCCTATCATGGAATGCAAATGTTGACTTGTGTGGGCTGTCATGAGCCAAATAGATAACCTCTGTGAACTCCACCTCCCATGACAGTGATGCTCTGCCATAGGTGGCTTCGATTACAGCCTCGTTCAGGCGATCATAACTCCCAGCTTCTCTGATCATGGTCTCAAGGCCATCTCTGGTGCAGGTGTAGGAACAAGGCACGCCCCTGCATCAGCAAGAAGGGGATGGGGATTCTCGACTGCAGTGAAGTGAGCAGACACCCACGAACAAGCAAATTGCGGCGATGGGATTTCCCCACAATTGGTTTGCAAATGCAAGGATGCTTCTGTCACGTATTGTCAAACGAAATGATACCGATCGTCTCTATGCAAGCTGGAATTCATCAGCATATTTATCCATGCGCCTTTGACGCTTATGGCTGTGCTGAATACCCAACAGGTCCCTGTGTGGAAACTTGGGCTGCTCAAAACTGCCCAAAACTCCCAGGTTGACAGTAGGCCGCTATTCAGCAATGGTGGAGTGAAGAGAGAAGCCGTGCAGATTGTTTCAAATGTGTGAAAATGAACATGGCATTGTTGCTTGATAGGTTTGCCGACGCCCCCCCACCTTTTTGTTGACTGGTAGGGCGATCTAGCTGCCCAGTTTGTGAAGTGCGTCTCACATTCTGGTTTTGCGATTGTCAGATTGTCCCATTCACCCCATTTCAAACCTTGCGGTATCATGAGGATTCTCTTGTTGTGGCCAAGCACCTTCCCAGGATTCTGATGGCTTAAAGTTCTTGCTGACCCAGAGCCCGCTGTCATGACATCGTGACAGGAGGTCTTGACAAGTGGACCTTGCAGATAAGCCCACAAAGCAAGGCTGGAGTTGGACACTAGCCATGCACCCCAAGCGCACTTGATTCTGGCGTCACTCAGGCACATTTTGTTCTGGCAATTTCTCTTTTTCCCACACTTGAAGCAATGCTGTGAATGTCACTGTTTCGTGTGCCACAAGGCTCCCTTACTATATTGTACACCCAATGCAGGCAAAATTGACTGCTGTATTAATGGGTTCCAGATTAGTATGACCAAAAAAATCTTCATTGTAAAGCCAGCCATGGCAAGCAAACTGCTGCTGAGCTCCAAGAATAATCTGCGCGATTCCCTGGCACAGCATAGCTCTCAACTAGGATAACAGTTCAATGGTCTGTGGACAAGCCACAAACAGAGAAGCCATGGATCCCTGCTGCCGCAATTTAACATCTGCACTAGCAGCTGTGAATAGGAGTATCCAGCGACTGAGGTTCGCGGGTGTGCAATATGTGCAGGGTTGAAGATTTTGTGGTACCAGCCCCTACAGCATTTGCTGAATGACCGTGCTGCAGTGTCTCACCTGATGGATCTGGAGCCAGCGACCCAAAATCGAACAGGCGCTCAGCTTCCAGATCTTCTGTTGTCCAATACTCTGCATCCCACCCCATTCGCTGAGCGTGCGCAAAGACAGAGGGGTCTCGATAGTTTGCGGCATGTATAGGCCTGCCCTCCTGCAGTGCTATGACCATGCCTGTAGTACGGCAGCACTCAGCACTTGCGTTGACGTCTCCCACTTTCCTGACTAGAATTTCATGGTCCTGCGCAGGCACACTGGAGCTGTGTTGGGTGAGCTCATAAGCAAAACACCTAAAAGGGGTGTTGCCAATGGCACATTGACTACATATCCTTCGCAACATCTTAGCACAAATAGTTAATTGAGTATCCGCCTAGAAGCATGAGGTCCAATAACAGAGTAACAACAGAGTAGTATGGATGCTAAAACTGTATGGCATATGTTCATCCCTGCTGCTGGTCTCAATCGTTCAGAGTATGCTACAAGCTACGTTTGCAGTTCTGTGCAACAACAGAAGTCTCGGATACCATAGCTGGTACTTTGGTCTCTTGGGTTGGAGAAAACAACCCAAGCTCATCAGGACCATCACATGTTGATGTGAACATGACACAACACTGCCCAAAGAAGGCAATAAGGCATCGACTTGTCCAATTGTGACAAGTGTATTCAAACAGGGCTTATGCCATCATCATGTCCCTTACCTCTGTGATAATATGGCCTTTCATGTCCGTCACTTCCACACGCACAATGTATCTGCCTGCTCGCTTGTACTCCACAAAGCTGTGTACCTCTCCTTCACCAAAGAAGCCAATGGACTCCCTGATTTCGTCACCACAAGTGGCAGACTGGCAAGGTCTCTGAGGCACCCCAAAGAATGTCATCCTAATTCTCACTGTGTCCATATCATAATCCAAAGCCGCAGCCTCCACCGTGACGCCTTGTCCCACGAAAACAGTTTCTGGACTGTGCCAAATGCGCTGAACCACTGGCAGTTGATTCATGCCAGGCGCACCAACAATGCTGTCTTCCATGAGAATGTTTTCAGCTACAAGTGCAACGTCAGGACAGTCCAGTGCCTCTTCTATGAGCAGCAGAAAACTGATGTGCGCATCGAGGGTGCCCTTCCCTTGTGGGTCGCCGATGGACAGGCTAATTTGTGGGAGTTTTAACGTGCTATCATCATTGAGGAACTCCCAATTGATGTCAGAAGGCAAACCCTGCACCTTGTTTCCCTTGATCTTCTGTTGCGAGCAAAGCCACAACCTTCTCAACACAAGCACATGCTTGCCATACCAGGCTTGATAACACCCATTTTTTAGGTTGTCGATTGGGAACAGTGGGAACACCTTCGTGTTTAGGAACGTTTCCCGCTGCTGTGAACGATGCTCAACACTACCTGATAGGTGCAAAGGCAGTGCATCATCATGCCTGATGACCATGCACTCTCAAGAATGCATTACTTTGTCTGTGACAAGTTTAGCAACCACTGTGCTTCAAGCAAATTAATAGGAATGCAGCCTTGGGCCAGACTGAGCCCATTGCTTCGTGTCACAAATTTAGCATCATGTTACAAGGCTCAAGTCTGTCAAGCCAAGCAAGGACAAGGAAGGCCTTGTAGCATCATGACCATCACTGCTGCAGATTTGGAAAGGTGACTCACCTCCTTTGCGAAAACTTGTGTGTCACCAAGGCAAACCCGGAGGGCCCCATCTTTCCGCCGGACCAATGCTACGAACTGCTGGAATTCTTCTGCAGCTAAGACAGCAGGTACCTCATAATTCAAGGATCGACCGCTGGTGAAATTGAGTCGCAGTTCACCTGCATTTCACAGTGGATAACTCTCTGACGAACACAGTCTGCTGTCACAGACAATGCAGTGGGAGATGCCACAGCTGCAGGAATCAACACTGCTCCAGCAGCAATCATTTCTGATTCGTGTTGCAGAGGGGCCTGCGGAAAAATTGCAGCAGTGACGGCATCTGCCAGTGGCTTCTTTGGATGGCTGCACAGTTAATCATGCAGCAGAGTGCGTGCCTCAGGCATCGAAACGTAAAGTTGTCAGATGTGCCCATGGATATGTGGTTTAGGCTGTCTGCACAAGGGTATTGGCATCTGGTTGAGAGACTGGGGAACTGGAAGCAGCTTGAGCTGCTGCCAGTTGCTGGAGAACAGTGTACCTGTGTGTGTGTGCTATCGCATTGTTGCATATGACATCATGATGTGAACAGCGTGACCAAGAACAATTTGACAGCATGTTTCGATTTTTTGTACACTCAACTGGTTCATGTACTCAAAAGTTTTGCACATGTCCATCTCATACCTGCAACGGGGTTGATGCTGAATGTGACATCTTCAAAAACAAGAACCACCCCATGCCGGTCCTCATGGCCCACATCTCCAAGCTGTGTGACGAGAGAAAATTCAGAAGAATTTGTGGGTAGTGCAAATGAGGTGTATGCTGCATGGAAGACATCTTCCTTGGTACAAGACTGCCCATCCTGATCAAAGTTGTCCTGCACAAGGGTCAAACCCTCTGGGGGGAGCAGGTTGAAGCCACTTGGGGCACCTCTTGAGTGGTGGAGAAGGAGCAGAGGAATCAGCAAGAATGTCACAAAGGGAACCATTGCACTCCCTCAGCCTCCAAATCTGAAACCTGCAAAGACATCCTCATCAACTGAAGACAGGCTTCTGGGCAGACCTAGGGTTGGTACGGTGGATGCTGAAGTTCTAGAATATGGGCACCAGCTGGAGGCATGATGCTTTCAAATGTTGGAACTCCACCAGATCAGGCACAACAACAGCAAGAACAGCCACAACAAAAACAAGATGTGGCAAGGCATGGAGACAGTTATTTGGACTCTTGGGAGAGGAGTGGATTTTAGTGAATGCTTATCAGGTATGATCTTGAGAAATGAGTAATCACCGTGCACATTGAACAGCCCACCACATTGAGCAAGAATCGTGTGTGTGCCATTGTTTACTGTTGCATGGAATACTGGCAAAGACAATGTGTTGTCTCTTCGAAACCTCCACGTGTGCCAACAAAACTGAACCTAATATCCTTAATGGGAAATAACAAAGAAAAAATCGAGATGCCCAGAGGTACACAGTTACAGAGTCAGATAGAACACTAAAGTTTAGCTTCATGTCTTGCAGCAATGTACAGTGGACTAAAAGCGGATGGAAAACCATGTGCATAATCCCTAAGCAAAATCAATAGGCGGCTCATATAGATAACGCAAGGGCATAGAACCAATGAGAAACATTCGCATGGCCACTGTGTGGTCAGGTTGGCACTTGCAGCATGTGTCCCCATTTGATGGTGTGAGTGTAAGTCCACAGCAAAAATGAATGCTCACATTGACCAGCTAGGTGCCAGCATCTACAAGGCAATCAAGCACAAGCTTCCTACAGCTGCTTATGGTCATATAATGACATCGTGCATAGTGTCACATGTGTTGCTACGACTGTCAGCGTGTAGCCGTCAGAACTGAAATACTCCGATTGCAATGTATTTGCTGGCCTCAACAAATACAATCGAACATTTGAATGCACTTCTGGCTCAAAATTTCAACGGATGATGAGAATCAGGCCTACTGTTGAGGTTTTCAAATTGAGCAACTCCTAAGAGTTGGGAACAACTGAAAACTCAAAGTAGCTTCTGAGGCATGCGTTGCGGTTTGGGAGAAAAACATATGTGCGATAATTCGTTGTGCAGATTCTAAGTTGGGGAGCGTCTCCAATGTAGTGGCAGCCCCGCATCCGTGGAGCCCCTGGCAAGTTTGACGTTTGTCGTCAGGCGCAATTGGTATCGGGCTAAGTCATATCCAGGGTTTTCCCGGTGAATCTCGAATCTCAGCAGCGCGCCGCCTGCGCGGGGATCTATCCACCAGTCTTCACGTGAGGACGCTGCCAGTCTATTGCTCAGCAAATGGATTCACAGACGTAGCCACGTTGCGCAGCACACTTGGACTGACCCTGGGGCCTCCTCGCTCCTTCAAACGTTCTCAGAACTGGCTAGCCCACACACCAACGCCAAGTCCACGTGGCGATCGCGCCAAGCTGCTGCTCAGGCAGTGGATCTCTGCCAGTCGATTTTCAGCGGAAATGGCTCCTGGTCCGTCCGCCATTGTCGTCGTCAAGAATCGGGTTGGCCCACAGGGAGGCTGACCACAATCCAAACAACGCACCTATCACGGCTCCAAGTCCACCGCCGACCTGGGGCGACGTGAGCACCGGCGGTCCATGACATTGGCCTTCCGCGCACTGTCGACGGCGGTCTGCCTTCGCCAGGCCGGGGAGCTACCCACGAGGCGGCATGTGCGTTTCCTAGTGGGATCCTGTTCTGGGGCGTCTGACTCGGTCGTCAGGGCATGAAAATGGGCCAATGACCACACTATTCCATTAGAGGTTCATTTTCCACGGCAAGGAAGCGCGTCCAACAGTCACATGTACCCTGTTCCCCCCAGGCCCCCGCCTTTGCCCCCCTCCCTCTCCCTTATTGTCCAGGAACTCTGTGGAGTACGATTTTCCGCACCACAGCAAGATGGTGGGAAGGCCACAGGGGTGCAGCAGGAAATGCACGCAACGCAAAGTGGCAAGCGCACCGCCACGTGATGCCCACATGCAACAGGTGCATGGACTGGTGTCAGGGCATCAGGGATTGAGGTAATGGCAGGAGTCACGGCGGTTCTGCAATAAAGTCTCCCCGTGGATATGCACTGTGCGTGGTGGAGAGCTGCAAATGTTGGTAGTCATGGACATGCAAAACCTGCTACAATAGTTTAAGGTTTGTGAGTGTCCAAAACGACCGCCGCTTGCAGCTCATCGTGGTAATACGATCGGGACCGCTGCGGCGACATCAAATTTCAGCAGCGCTTCAAGTACACAGCGCTGCCACAGAATTCACAAGATGCGTTGTACATGCCATTAGCTGGGTCAATAGGGCAAGTACACGGGAAGTATTACGATTGCATGTTACACCGGAAGCACTATGAGTTCATTTACGACACATTGGGCATTATTGCCCATGGAAGCCCACCTGAAAGGGCTACAACATCCCAGTCCAGTTTGGTTTTGCTACAGCCCTAAATTCGTTCGTTCATCGCCATCATGTGCTTGGGTGAGTGCGGCAACAGTGGCTCGAGCCAAGCTTGCTTTGCTTATTTGTTTCCTTTTTTCTGAAGCAAAGCAAGCCACACCACATGTAAAAGAATTTTCTTGAAAGCAGCTCGCCTTCACCCACCACGCCATGGCAACACAATGGGCGCTTCTTTCCAGCACAACCATGCGATCATTGCTCTCCCAATCTGCAGAGCTGTGGACAAACGACGTTCGATGCGCGGTGGTGTCCAGCTGCAGCCGTTGTCGCAGTTGACCTCCCCACAGATCGGCATCCATTCGCACAATAAACATGCACAACTTGGGTTTGTATCGGTGCACAGTCCCTGTGGCCCGTCCCCCATGGCTCTGCAACTCCATGGACACAATCTGCCTATCACCCTCTCTAATGCTTCTTGCCTCTGACTTGCTTGTGTTGTGTGATCATCTTTGCATCGGAGGCTCCATATCATCTTTTTGCAGCATGCAACAGAGTCTCACATACATTTGCCTGGGAGGAGGTGCCCTTTATATGACTTGTTTCTTTTTTTTAAAAAATCTTACCCTCCCTAATGCCCCTGAGAAAGGACCATTTTTTGCTTGGGTCAAACAGAGCAGGCACAACAGGTTTCTTGAACTTGTCCCCCTGGATATTCTTCTGACAGGTTGTGCTCTCCTACCTTCGCCCGTTGGACAGGATGCAGAGCGCAAGAACAGCAACAGGCATCAGAAAGGAGGGGAGAAAACTGGCAACGTTAAAATTCCAAACTGCGATATGGTATTATACAAGAGTAGGATGGCCATGAAAAGCTTATCCTTGGCATGGCCTCAGCACATGCCACTTTGGCAATCTTCCTCGTTTTAAGCCAAGCCACCTTGCAGTGCAACACATCCATTAGCAGAGGTTCAAGCACACTTCCATGCTCGTGCTACTTCCAAGACGGCAGTAGCACAGAAGCAAATGTAGTCGCACCCCAAGTGCTGTGATGCAGCTGGTAACAAGTACACTCAGATCCATATTTCCCCCTAAGCAGTCAACCACCTGCTACTTCCAGCACAACCAATAGAAAGATCCAACACCCACTGTGGGACACACAAGACGACACTGACTTCTCCTACACATGATGCCATTTTCAACCAAGCTGACAACGACAGCAATCTCGAAACCTGATGACATCCATCAACTGTGGCTTGGCCTTCCATCGCCACAAACTGCACCACAATTTGTGGCACAATGAGCAGGTACACAGCCATTCAGGCACATTGTGTTGCTTGTCCACTATTATAGCAGCACAAATGACAGCTATCCTCCAGCTCTTCCCCTATGCCTTCCTCAGTGCACTCAAACACTGCTGGGATTCCCCGCTGGGCTCTTTGCTTCCTGAGGAGCATGCTCGCAAGCCCTCCTCTTCAAGTATGCTCCGCACTCCAGGTGGGACGTGTATGGAAATTGGTCAAAAACTGCAAACCTGGAAATGTCGTGTGTCTCTTTCACTGTCTCCAAATTGTCCCTCAGGGTTGCTGGATTGCAGGATATGTAAACGATGCTATCAAACTCGTGAAGCAGCTGCAGGCAACAACACAGCAGGGTCACTGATGTCCTGTAGTACGGAAACGCATCTTGTGATAATGCCAGCTCAAGGGATGATGCCTGCTGATTTAACACACATTTATTTTGTCAACATTAAGCATAGCATGAATAACAGGTGTGGTGATGCGGCAGCAATAGCTGTGTCACTAGATGTTAGCTATACCTAAAGACGATCAGTCAACCTACTGTCTAAGCATTATGCCAGGTGACGTAAGGCAGTGGCAAGATTTACTAGGATATTTATGGGCATTTTGGAACAATGCATACTGGATCGGTAGATCGCATCCAATAGAGCTGCACATGCTCATGTGGGATCTGTGAATATAGACCAAACAATTAAGTCTACAGAACTATGCAAGTGCGATGTGCTGCACGCGATCAACCTTTTCGGTGTCTTTATCCAGCCCTGCCCTTGGTGGATCAACAAGAAGCGTGGTGAGCTTCAAGTCCGTCCACTGCAGCTCAGGCAAACGCCTCATCGGCCTCTGTTGTTTCCAAGCTTCCACAAACTCCTCACTGCTCATTCTGCCCTGAACAGTTCAAACAAGTTATCACCACAATCCCACACAGTGCATGGCAACCCAGCCACATCGCACTGTGCTCTTCACCTCATAATTTGAAACTCATCCATGCTTCCTGAGTGTTAGTGTTCTTTTCTCTCCAGAGAACTACATTTCGATTTCAGCCACACCCATCGGACAGTGGCTTTCCCAGTCTGCACTGCACTGGATGATCCATGGTTTCTTTCTCATTTACTGCAGACGAAGCACAGCAACCCATTTCTGGATTGACCAAACTCCCAGGTGATTTTAAAGTTCCAGAAACATCTTCGTTTCCACAATGGAGCTGTGCTGGCAACGCAGTGCTGCTTGTGTGCTTGTCTATTGTGATTTACGCTGCTCAGAAAGCAGCTGACAAGGAGGAGCTTGTTCAGCACATTGCACGCACCAAAAAATCGTACATGTGTTGCATGGTGGCAGAACTGCCGCGTATTCATGAAATGCTGAAAAAGGCAGCGCATTACAAGCCAAACATCATATAAGTTACCATTCCACGAAGTCTAGTACACCAATGGGTACCCTGGGTCAATCTCCTCCACAAAACATACATAAGCACTGGAGTCTTTGTGGATTGCTATCAAAAGGCCAACATACGTACCAGCAAGATGTTGGTCACACCATTGGCCTTGATGTTCTCTCTTGCAGCAGCCACTGATGCCTTTGACACCTCTGTCGCCACCACTGTTTTGAAGTTCTCTGACAAGGGAATCGTGAAGTTAGCATTCCCACAGTACAACTCAATAAGATCTTCAGTAGGCTGGACTGGTGCACCACCTTGGCCATCACATGCAGGAGATGTGACAGTCTGGCTCCATGCTACCATGTGCTGGGCCACAGAAGCATTTGGCTGTGAAAAAGATCCTTCGACCTGTTCACCAAAAATTCGCAGGCATTGCAACCTTGCAGGTATGAAAGCAGACATTGGCTATGATTCTGCAGCATGCATAGTACAGGGCTGCAGCTGACAAGCCAGATCAGCAAAATTGTCGCACAAGTCCATAAATAAGACATTGTTAGTCTCTGTAAGGAAAGTGCCAAGTGTCAGATGCAGTTGTGTCACAAGCATTTTCCATTGGGGCAAGTGATGCAAAGAACAGAATGCGCTTTGATATTCGAAAAATCAACAGTGCTCTGGTTCCAAATCTTTGCTATCACATTTGGTTGCAGTGCATAAAGAAATACTTTAAACTAAATGCAAAGGCTATCTAACCAGAATCTCAAACAAAATAAAGTCCAGCACATTGACAAATGCTGTGTGGATGCCTGTTGCTGGCAAGGACAAGGCACTACAACCTGAAGCTATCAGAAGATGTATTGTGACATAATGTCTGCAAGACAACATCTGCGCTACAGGTCCATATCCCAAATCCAGGATATGACGTCTTGGCTGTGGGGATGGCGGTATAGTGGAATGGAGATATGGCGACCTGTCTGAACAAGCTGAGAAAATGCTGCCAAGGGAGAAAAGGAGGGAAGCAGCTAAAAAGATAAATCTCACCTGCCGATATAAGTACCTTTTGTTGTTGACTTGCAACTCTTCAACAACAAAGTCTTGATTCAAACAGATCTTCTGCTTGCGACTACGACCTACACCCAAAATCGTGTGATGGCTGAAATGGCAGGGAGTTGCCAAGTACTGACAAATAAATCCATTGAGGAATTATGCTAAGCATACATAACGCCATCTTTTAGTGAAGAGCACACTGATTAATTGCGGGAATCGCTGCCTCAAACAACATGTGACAAAGTTGAAATGCAACAACACCAGATTCCTTGATGCCAAAAGAACACAAATTGCATATTCAGATTGTAAGCTCAAAACTGACAGCAGCTACCATGAGAGCAGCTATTGAACCACGGCCTTTCAGGGCACTCAAGTGGAAAACATTTGGACAGAATGATATTGCTACGCCGATGAAGCTCACCGATAATGTGAACAAAGCCAGTTGAGCAACTTGCCACCTTGCCCAAGATTTCAGCAGCCTCCTTTGCGGTTTTGATCCATGTGTCCTGCAGTTTCTTGTGATATATCATTGTGACCTGCACAGCCCAGATGGGAACCGAAGACGTGAGACTTCGACAGCTCATGACAGCGTTAGGAAGACAAGCAAACAATATCTGTTCTGCCTACCTGGCATATGTCAAGCACGAATCGGACAGTGCCAATTGTGTATATGTTGCAAACACCCACACTCCATTGGTATATCACAAACACATTCACGAACCATCGTCCCACACACCATAGCTTCTCCTTTGAGGGTGGTGTGAAAATTGACTTGGTGCAACTTGTGGCGAAGCTCTTCTTGTTTTACCACCTCTCGCATCAATGCGGCCATCAACTCGTTCATGAGTTCTGATCCTGCCTGCAGAGCGGCACCTGCACATCGATATCAATAGGCTGATCCCAAAAGCCCACGGGATCCGGCAGTCCTGCCATCCCTGGCATCACCTCCTGTGCCACTGACATGGTATATTTCTGTGTTGAGCGTGCAGCAGCACAGACTCCCCTCAGCCGTTGCTTATGTCCCCTGTCATTGCATCAACACTGCGCAATCCAGTATGTAGAAGGAGTATCCAACTCGCCAATTGTGTCCTTGGCCACTGCTACTGTGCCATAGCATTGTGGAAGGCCAAGCTGGCAGCAAGACATCGTATATCCCATCCTGGTAGGCGCTCAAGCAAGCAGCTGTCATTTGGTTTATGCAGACAGACAATGCAAGATTTCTATTGCTGTTCGGCAGGAGCCAGCTCCGGCATATTGGTGCACCAAGATGCTGAAAACTGCCATGCCTGGACTGCCGAGCTTTACAAAGCAGAAGCCCAACCCAGGTTCATGCACATGGGAAGTGGAATAACCTGCCATCAAGGTAGAAAAGTAAAGGACATCAGACAAGATGCCAAACCCTGCAGTGACAAATGTCGAGCTCACGCCAGTACACCCATCAATTCAATTGAACCAAGCCAAGCACGAAGGCCACAGAGCTGTGCCAGTTCAGTCTCAACCAGCCCCATAGTCTACACCAACTCAAATAGGCCACACACAATAACACGTTGTTCTGCAATTGGGGAGTTTACAATGGGGCTGCTCACCGGAAAGGAGTCTATCCTGACTGCCTTGGGACGCTGTCTCTTGTCATTGCTGTCATCCTGTCATGTACATGAAGGAATGGTAGTTCAGCACAGACTGCCTGTGCAACAACTAAGACAAAGTATGGCCCTTACAGGTCGCCTGACGACCCATTGTGCTTTTTCTGCAGTTACACACTGCGCCCAGGAGTGGAGAAGCATTCAATGTACCATCGTTCCTGAATTCTCGACTCAGGGCATAATCTGTTGTCACAAATTAGACTGCATGCCTGGCATAGCCAAACAGGCGAAGGGCCACAGCTTTGTCACATACTTTATCGATATTCTTTGTAGCATGAGTGGAGCATCAAAAGACCAGGCAGAACATGCTGTAGCAAATGTTGTCAATGCGGAATGCCAGTAACCAGTTCATCGGCATGAGCACCATGACTTTCTCCTGCAACAACAGCAAGGCACTTGTGCTTCATACAACTGTGCATGTCAAGCCACACCTTTTGGAACACTGTGTAGTATACTTCTTCACCATCATGCCAGACTCGAAATTCAGCCCTGAACAGGCAACTCTTTAAGTCAGCACAACAGCTGTGCCATCCTATAATTACCAAACGCTGTCACCCCACTTTAGTGTGGACCATGTTTCGAATGTATGTATGTATGTTTCCATTAACAGCGTGTCAGCCAACATGGGCTATGCTGCCACCCAGAACACATGTCCATTGTTTGTCCCTGTGTATGCCCGTATGCACACACTACCACTTGCCTCTACATTGAGGCCCATTGATGGTTTGTTTAGACACCCCCCTGCATCTCACCCGCAGCACGCCCCCACTCTTCACCACCCCCCACTGTTGACCCCAACATCCCGAGGTTCAAAAACCCCACACAGTATGCAACACCACTCAACATTATTGGTGTCAGCAAAAGAACCACCAAATCAGGATCAATCCGCAGAAATGTTTCGAATGTGCACAGAGGCATGTGTATGTCTATGCTTTGTACATCCACATCCATTGCTGCATGCTTCAATAGAGCTGCACCCATATGATATTATGATATTATGATACCATTGCGTGTCCTAGAAGAGGGCTGCCAGTGCTTCAAAGTCAGTTGATGAAAACCAGATTGCAATTTCATACTTGCATGCATCTGTGTGCAGCACATGAGCTACCATGTTTACCAAGGAAATTTCTCCGCAGCCTCTGAGAAGAGCAGGAAAGCAACATTCCAATAACACAGCCACCTCAAAATCGGACAGTACACATCTTGCCTCATTCGGTAGTGGGATGGCTTTGATCGGAACACCTCAATGCGGGGAAGCTTGAAGCTGGAAAATAGGCGATTGACAGATGCAATCTTTTCATCCAGTTGCTCTTCATACCTGACAGAATAGCAAAACAGGAGGCAACTGAATGATCTGGAAATACTGTGATATCATGTATGCCAATCAGCGAAATTGTTCATTGCCAATCTCTGCAGACTTCCTGGATGCTGATGCCAGCGAAGCGCCCTGGCCCCAGTGCAGAGGAAACATGGTGCATGTTGGCCAACACCACCACGTCACACAAGGAGGCCCAACTCGTACGCCCTGTAGCATTGACTTCTTGTGCTTAATGAACTCAACCTAAGTCTAACTGCTGCTGCATTCGTCTGCTTGCCTCAAACCATTGGTGCCTCTGTTTTTTACCCCAGCACCCCCACCCCCCAACAGTTGCAAGAATTTCGCATTCCAACTTGTCTTGTCAAAGGACGCCAAAAGGATTCTTGCACTCGTTTAGCTTTTCTGGCAATCGCATCCAGGCACTAATAAATCGATGATGGGTGATGTTGGAATCTGGTTTGCCAGATTGGAGTCTGCTTTTCAAAACAGTGCATCCAAATCAAAAGTTGAAGAAGAGCCTAAAAGTCGCCCAAAAGGGGTGCGATGCCGACAGACTTCGGTGAATCTCTGGAGGCGAACAGCTCGTGATAAAGCCGCCGGCAAGAACCAGCCCTCGACACTGGCGACGAAAAAGAAGGTTGAGAGAAGGTGGTCGCAAGTTCTTTTTCGCACCGCTCCGGCTCCACAACGGCGATGCGGCCAGACTCAGAAGCCAGCGTGAGGCGAGCTATCTTCTTGGGAGGCTCCATGTGCCTTGCCACGTTCCGCAATGCCCCCAGGGAGACCCGCTTCCCGCAAGCCGCCACAAACCTGCCCGAGCCCCAGGGAGCCGCCAACATTGCACTGGCCCGCATTTGCACGATCGACCCCCACGTAATGAGTTTTGCCAACCCTGCAGTACATGACAGAGCACAGTTCTGTGACTATGAAGTACGGCGAGATCCCATCCAGCCCCTCCACTCTGTTCATTTCGCCAGCGCGTCTCCTCCTGGTCCTTTTGTTCACCGAGCCTTCCGCCTGTGCACCAGGTTGGCAGCAGCGGCAGCGAGGTGCACTGAAACAGTTTCAGTCCGTTGGTGGCCTTTGCTGGCGTTCCCAGGTGTGCATGGCCTGGTTGGCTCGTTGCAACGACCGTGTGCGCGGCAGACTGCACCGTTGGGAAAAGCTGATCCGCCAATCTTCGATAGTTTGCCGCCACACGTCAGTTGAGAAGCTGATAATTGGGGCACGACAATGCCGCTCAGTGCAACTGTGCCTCTGTCATCCTGCCAAGTGTCGTCACAATCCTAATGGCCGAATGGATCTTCAAGGCCATAACCGGGAGGCATAGTGTATTGTCGGCTGCGCTCTTCTCTCATTGGCTGTATTGCCAATGTCATTGGCTTGACCATAAATTTTACTATGTAACGAAGGTGAACTCGGGTGTGGGCCCATTTATTCTGCTGGATGATGGTCATGCAGGACACACGGGCAGTCAAATTTGTCAGCCACAGAGATCTGCTGCCCACCCAGGTGTGAAAATGCTATGTTGTGGCCATGTATTGCCAGGATAGCAGTTGCCTATCCATGCTGGGTTTCCTGAATCTAATGCAGCCCTCAGTTACTGCCTTGAACTTCAGGACAGAAGGGTTACTGCCTTGAAGTTCAGGACAGAAGAGGCATCCTGTCTGCGTTGGCACAGGAGACAAAAGGAAACAATTGCGATCATGGTTCCTGTTCATCTGGCCTTCTGACGCTTGGGGCAGAGTTTGAAAGTCTCAATCCCCAAATAAGTTGTTAATTTAGGTCGGCTGCCCCAATATGTGCAAAAGGATTTGCTTGCAGCGTTTGAGTAAGCTAAGGCCAACACATGAGCAGTTCCAGGCTGGACGACAAGATCAGCCACAGTGTTTCCATCTTTCAGACATCCGATTCGATGCACATCTCCATGCACTGTGAATCTATTTGTGCAGCATTCAGCGTAAATCTCCTTGGATGTTCTTGATTGTGCCAGCCTGTGTGGTACAACCATGTCAGTAGTTGCTCACAGGTGCACTTTGAGTCCTTTGAAAAGCTATACTGTCAATGATGAGTGAAATGAGCTGCAGACAGAGCAAAAATGCATGTTCCAAATTTTTTGTCATGGTGATATGGGTGTGGCGATGTGGCCTTGTCAGGTTGTCTCCCACCCATCATATTCTCAACTCCTTTGCTTTGAATCTTGATCATTCTCTCATGCCGCTCCTATCTCTGCTTCTGTCATATCACATTGTGGCAAGGTGATCGTTGCTCCTGTCCTTGATGAATGCCGGCGGGGGGGGGGGCCCTCTCTGGTGTGCACACAGTGGCAACACCGCTGCACCCATTGCAGTGGCCTGTTTTGCTGCTTGTGTCACAATCACACTGAAGTTGCAAATACGGCTATTTCCAAAACCTGATATGGGTAGACACCAAGTTTCTACAGAGTGGATGTTTACGGATCAATGATGTCCTATGTTGACTGATCTATGTTTAGTATTCAATGCATGTTTATGGAGAGAATGTTGTTATATGGGCAATTTGCTGTGCTGGTCCAGGGCAGACACTCAGGAGTCGTTGCCCAGTGCAATGCTGGGGCCACACGGACCCAGGAGCCTTCTGGCATGCTCCTGTCTAGGCGCTCAACCCTTGGTGTCAGTGCCTTGGTTGCCATTCAGCTGTCCACCAACATGATGGTGGCTAAGGCAGACGTTGTGCGGGACCTGGCAGCGCAAGTCCTCATCCCAGATGTCGACCTGGAGGAAGCACTTGTAGCCCTACTGGATGCTCGGGCAGTGCTCCTGTACGTGAAGGTGATGATCTAACCTCTTTTGGTCATAGTTGTTGTGAGGTCGAGGGAGCAGTTGATATGTGATATATGATATGTGGTGCATTTTTATGGTGGACAGTAAATATGGTGCACATGGTGTTGTGGTGAATGTAATGGGGACAATGGAGACGGGGAAATGAACATCATTGCAATGATAGTTATTTAGTCGATACACTCATCCTGTAATGCATCTGGTTGCGGCCTCGCTTCCCGTGCCTGTGAGCAACCGTGTGTGAGTGCGCGAGAGCATTTGGCTAACCCGACAGTTATCTTTGTTGATTACATGTGGCTTTATGGACAGTGCTCCTGCACGTTGAAGGGCATCATTTGGATTCTTAATTTTGAAATTTAAGCTTAAGGGACTGATTGAAAATTGAATGAAAAAAGTGGACAACTGGTTGAAACAACATGCATGCCCAGACCTTGTGATTGTTTTCTTGCCTACCAATGATGGCAGGGAGCACAGTTGCCACTGAAAGCTTGATAACTGAAGGACAACTGCTAAGAGATTGTTGAACTTCTTGTGGGCAGTCAAGAAAGGAGTTTGTCATGGCTTGCTCGTGTCGGAGATTGAGTCTGCCTGCTTCAGCAGTCTGTTTCACAAGGTCATTGCCCAACACACGTTTGTTGCAGTCATGCACCTATTTGTCTGTTGTCTGTTGTCCCCCTTTTGAGCCTAAGGTGCAACAACCACGGTGTGCTGCTGGTCTGCAAGTGCTATCTGTCGATCTGCTTTGCCCATTATGCACCTATTGCCCTCCATGTCGATAGGTTGTGTGCATGTCCAACTGCAATATTGTTCCTGCCTTTACCATAGGGTGCCCTCCAAGCAACATCCTGAACAAGCCCAGCCACTTGCTTGGATTGGAATCAGGTATCATATATGTTATGCAGTGTCTGGCAGCATTTGCTCATTTGTGTGTGTGTGTGTTTGAGACAGAGAACTGCAGGTTGGAAGGAATGACACAGTGGACTTACACATGCAGTGCTCTTTGTCATGGATGAAACTGTTACTTGCAGGCAAAGCCATACAGGAAAGGAACAGCTTAAGTATGGCGCATATGGCAATGAAGCCGTTGACCTTATTTGCATGGTGCCCTGCAGAATGTGTCAGAGACGCCCATGGACAGTGAGGAGAGGAGGATGTCGAATCGTTACCTGCCGGGCGTGGCAAAGCGGCTGCAAAAGATTGGTCCAGCAGCGCCCACAGTGGCAGCTGCTGTTTTGGGAACTAACAGAGAAGGCACCTTGTCTGCAGCATATGGTGGAGTGGCTGATGGCGAGGCGAACAGAGGGGTATGAAAGTCTGCCTGAATTTGAGCTTTTGTTGGTTTGTCCTTGTATAAGAGTGAGATGCTGGAGCTAGAGTGCTAGGCAGAGGGAGAGATTCTCAGAGTGAATTGAGGGGAGGAATGTTTCTGTTCCACAGGGCGCCGAACCCATATTTGTTGCAGTGGGCAAGGTCTTGAATAGATCTGGAGGTGGCATACGACCTGAAGCGTTGGCATCTCCAATGCTCGCACAGGAAGCCATGGATGCCATCAGCCAGTTGTTGGACAAGGTAATTTGTGGATGAGGTTGTTTTGCATATGGCAATGATGAGAAAAGTGTTGAGAAATTGCCAATGGGGTTTGGGCATCAGGCACAACATCATCAGGCTATTTGTTGTGAATGCTACTACAGCTGTCAGGTCGATGTTTTGAAGCCCGAATTGGGAAAACCGGGTGGCAGCCGTAGAGCTGCGCCAGCAGCAAAGTACATGAATTTACACACGAATTTCGTGCCACTGTCTCCGTTCATTTGCTATTCTCTGAGTTGTGTTTGGTGTTAATAGTGCCAGAGGCCAGTCTGTACTACACTGTTGACTTGGTCATCTCTACGTTCCTTTGGCTGTGGCTGTTCCTTTGCACCAGTCCTGTTGGCAACTCCAGTGCCCAATCCTTTGCTGTGTTGTGCAGGTGCCTGCAGAAACAGTGGCCATGGCCGAAGATCTCCGTCAGGCCCGCAAAAAATAGAGGAAGATGTGGACCATTCATTTCCTGTATCTTGCCAGTATCAATGCTGCCATCACCTGTCCATCGTGGAGCCCTGCCTTTGCGGCTGAAATGTTGGTTGGCCATGATTGTGCAGCAGCCAGCAGTTAAGTAGAGCATCTCCAGAAATTGAGGAAAAAGAGAGGCCACCCACAGCTACATGTGGTGTCACCAAAATGCCAGTTAGGATCAATTTTTCGAACACCAGCGCACAGGAACAGCTGGTGTGACTCCTTTTCAGCAGTTTGGCCCAAAAGATAAATCCAGGGAGTAGTTTCAAATGCTAGCAGGCATGAGCATGGCTGCGGCAACGATGTGCAGCATGGGATGGTCTTCCGGCATGCAGCCACATCCATCGCACTCCGAGACGCATTCCCAGTACCAATGATGCATAGCAATGCTGGTTTCTCACCTGCTTGCACGTGTCCACGTGCTCAATGTGTTGCAACCTTGTTGGTCAATCACCGTGTCCATTGGAGGTTGGTGCTGCAATCCTTTTGTATTCTGGAGTGCGTGCACTGCTCTTATGAGCTTTGTGACCGATCAACGGTGCCAGCTTTGGCCCTACAAACTTGCCGCAAAGAGCACAGCGCTGTAGCTTGTCTGCAAAACATCAAGACATCCTTATGGCAAATATTCTCATGGTGCGTTTTGGTCATTGTTTCATTATGAGAAGATAGCCACTGGCACTTGGGCGCCCACAAGTTTTTGTTCAAGGATGCCACTGATTTCCTTCTTGAAATATTCTTCCTTCTCTCTTCTGATTTCCTTGTAGAATGTTGTCAGTTCCGTTTGTCTTCAACAAGCAAAGCGACATGTTGCTGCACGTACTATGGTCCGTGTTCTTGCATGGTTTTCACGTGGAGGAAAATGCTATTGCGTTCATGACCCACGGATGGCCCAATACAACACATCATTGACTCATAAATGTATAGTATATTCAAGAAAAG